GATCACCAAGACTTTGAATATAAATTGGATATAGCAATATGCAAAAGCTAAAAATATAGACAGATAGAAATCGAAAATAGAGGGAAATTGGTGTGTGGAATGGGGGAAAAAATAATTTTATTGTAAGCTAATGGCGCATGCATGAGTGGAAGTGGCCAATAATTAAGGTGTTACACACTTAACACCACCAATAACTTCACAATTATATTTGAGGTTGAGAGTTGAAGAGTCAGTTTGGAATAAAAAAAAATTAAATAACTTATAAAAGGTAAAACCAAAATGCAAACACTCCTAGGGGGCGATCTTTTGCTCCATTAGGTTTGACATTCGTTTATGTAGGTCTTGTCCACACACAAGTTCAAGGTTCGAAGTTCTAATTCAGTCCTTGATTTGCGTATGTGGAGAGAACCTCTATGTGACACATGATTACACCATTTCAAAGTATAATAATATATAAAGTGTTCTTTACTTTGTTTATTTTCCTATGTGGGACAAACTACACAGTTTTTCCTTCAACACAAAACCATCTTCCAATTCGTCAATTTTGAACTTCAATTTTTCATTCATCCGAGCATCAATTTTGACAAGAAAATATGTGATTTTGATGTTCTCACATAGAAGAACACGAATCAACTTTGATCATCCAAATTGATTGAACAGATTCCACTCAATATTATGCCAAAAATGGCTCACTAACCTGTACTTTCCAACATACCCAAAGAGGAAAACATGATTGTGCATAATTCATAATCCCTCTTAGTATGTTTTTCTAACATTAGCGTGATGAAATTTAGTTGTAATCATGCTAAGAATCGAGAATCATAATAAAATAAATTAATAAGATGAATTCATACCCGTTGAAGTCATCGTTGATATGAATAATAGTTGCAATTGTAATACCAACTAGATCTTTCCCTCTTTATCCCTCACAAAATATTAGCCTTCAATGGAGCAAGCTAATAAAATCATATGGAGAGGAGAGGGGGCCTAGCTTGTATATAGGAATTTATTTAGTCGTCCCATTATCGACTTAAACCCTAATTAGGGTCTACGTATAATTTCGGCCCACATACTTAAAATTACCACATTATATCAAATAAAGCCCTTAAGATGTAAAACGGCCTAAATTGATCACTTAACATAATTGACCTAATCATAATATCATTGTGAGCCATACATCTAAACCGTAAAATTCTACAATCGAATGTGAAGCCCATATTTGGAATTATTCCAACAGTCTCACACTTGGACAAACATTTGATTGTTAAAACAAAAATTTTAAGACCCGGGTTAGACTACATAGGTGGCCACGAAACTATAGCTCCAATGACGACACCTTACGTAGCATGATTCGGTCCAATAAGAATATTAATATCAAATATGGAAGTCATTACACCAATTAAGCGATGTAAGATCATTCAACAGCTACAAACGCCAACATCCTTATCGACATGGATCTCCATCCTCCAACCAATGTGATAGTATGTGGTATGAACTTAGCATCAAATGTGATAAAAAACTGTGCTAATTCATATCAGTTCTCATAATGTTTCAGATCAAAATGAAGCCACATGTCTCCAAAAGAGACCCATCTTATGTCTCTATCTGTCATATCTCGAGATCTCAATAATATCATAATAAAAAGACATAAGCCAATGCATGCACAAAATAATTCATGGATATAAGAAAAAATATTTTATTATCAGAAGGGTCTGTATCCGAAAACATATGAGTTGCCTACGTACCTCGCAAAGGGATCAAGCCTAAAACGTAGTTCTTTACATAAATAACGCTCACTAACCAAAAACATCAAATGTTTCCACAATACCCATATTAGAAACATGTGTTCTAAAAACTTTTGGAGCGAATCCCTTAGTCAAAGGGTCTATTTAAAGACTATTGTAAGCATTGTAAGCAACCTTAAGCCGATTAAAGACTATTTAAAATATGATAGATCAGAAAAGGCTCCGCAATGGAAATGTTAAGAGCTTTAGCTTAGATGATATATTTATCATTTTCATGACATGCTCCCTAACACGACTTGTATATCATATATTATACTATTAATTTATCTATTAGATCTCCAGTTTCGACTTCAAGAGACTTAATAAATTTTTCTCTTATAGCATCCATAAAACTTTTGGCATTTTCATTATTGGGGATGACACCTAGAATGGAATTGGATATCGATCGCTTAATGATTTTTAAACAGAGTTTGTTGGCCCTTTCTCACTTTTCAGACTCGGCTACATATTTAACAGTGCTCTTATCTGTGGGTTTCTCAAACTTCTTCTCCATTGCAAAGTCTAAGTCTAAAAGACCAAGTACTATTTCTACGTCTCGTTTTCATCTCACATAATTATTCCCTGTCAAGGTTTCAATAGCGGACAATTGATTCGAAAGAGATAATACATTATAAAATGCGAAAACATAAAATATCACACTCAATATCATCCAAACATAATGCATGCAATCAAATAGATGCTAAAATATCCAATGAATTATTATGGGCTATTAATTAGATAATTCGTAATTTAAATCAAAACATATGAATTTCATTACGATAAGAACCTAGATGCATCATCATAAAGTCACATTTGGGTCGACAATACAACATGCTATAAGGTATTCTTAAAACACATCATGTAGTCAGTTAACAAAATTACATTGATTTTCGAAACACTAACACCTTTGGGTAGAAAGAAATTTCTAGACCAAAATAAGCTCGTTCACTGTCTTATGCTATTTTTCAAAAATATCACATATAATAATACCTTTGGGCAAGATATTATATGTAATAAATCAAATTTGTTGGACAAAATATTTTTTTTTTGTTGTAGAGAAAACCGTATAAATAACAATTAGTGTGCCACTTCAGCAGCTACCACCATTTTTATTTAAAAATATTTCTCTCATAGTGGGAAAACAAGGATCGTCTGAAAACCCATAATAAATTTAATCACAAAACAAAAATTATTCAATAAATCATTATCATTAATCAATGAAAGGCAAAAAATTCACATGTGATTGATATTGAGAGACCAAATTGGCAACAAAATTTCAGAAATGAAATTTAAATGCATAAATAATGGCAATAATTAAATACATAAACATTTTAATGAAATAAGACAAAGGTCGTTAATTAAATTATTATTATTATTATTTACTATACTTCAATCGAGTTAATTATTAAACAAAATTTTCAATTGGGTTAAAAATTAAAATTTTAGGGTCAAAACTTTAAAAGTTCAAATTAAGAGCCCCTTATTGAAATTACATTTTAACACTAAATTCGAATTAAAATCTGGTCCTTCAATATTTAAAATTGCGTGATTGGTCCTTACTTAAAATTTGCAAAACAGGCCATAATCCCTTAATTTTTGTCTAGGACCTCTAAACTCACAAATTGCAAGACTAGTCCCATCACCAAATATATTACATACGGCCGAAGTTAAAGATTAAAACCCAAAAGAAAAACCACCATTCTTCTCTCAGTCGGCGGTACTGTCCGACCCGCCACCTCGACCCGAGTCCTCTATATCGGGCGAGGACCCGATTGCCGTACAGTACACAAGTGAGTGTTTGGTTAAACGAGTTATCGATCGAATGTGTCTCCGATTTCGAGGAATTTGGGCGACAGTTCTTGCTGTTGATAATTGCAGAGAGAAAAGGGTTGATGTGGAGATGAAGGTGGGGTTTTTGTGGACGTGGAGAGTTGGGTTTCGTTTTGCAGAACCCTTTTTTTGTGCGTATGCGTGTATTTCTTCGCATGACAGTGGCCCTATTCAGAGAACGGCGACGACGATGATGTGGTGGTGTAAGCTTTAGGGAAGGCAGGGGTGTGATATGCTTCTCTGAATTTTATTTGAATTTGAGTAGTGTTAATTTTCATACCACAAGCAACAAGGAGAAACGCTACCACGGATTTGGGAAAATCACATAAAAACCAAGTCTCAGTCATAGGAGAAGGAAGCGAGAGTTCTTGCAACTTGGGCCCTGGATTTCTTTGAATATGTTTGTATAATGAATATATATCATACATATATTCTCAAACGAAAATTGTATGCACAGAAACAGATCTTATACTTCTCGCTCTCACAAAATATTAACTTTCAATGGAGTAAACTAATAAAATTATATGGAGAGGAGAGAAGACCTAACATTTATATAAGAATTTATTTATTCGTCTCATTATCGACTTAAAACCTTAATTAGGGTCTACGCATAATTATGGCCCACATATTCGAAATTACCACTTTATATTAAATAAAGTCTGTAAGGTGTAAAACGGTCCAAATTGACCACTTAACATAATTGGCCTGATCATAATGTCATTGTAAGCCATACATCTAACCCGTAAAATTTTACAATCGACTGTGACGCTTATATTTGGAATTATTTCAACATTCTCCCACTTGAACAAACATTTGATTACTAAAACAAAACTTTTAAGACCCGTGTTAGACTACATAGGTGGCCACAAAAGTATAACTCCATTGACAACACCTTACGTAACATGATCCGGTCCAACAAGAATATTAACATCGAACGTGGAAGTCATTACACCAATTAAGCGATATAAGATCATTCCACAACTACAAATGTCAACATCCTTATCAACATGAATCCCCATCCTCCAACCAATGTGATAGTATGTCGTATGAACTTAGCATTAGATGTGATAAAAAATTGTGCTAATTCATATCGGTTTTCATAATGCTTCAGATCAAAATGAAGCTACATGTCTCCAAAAGATATTCATCTTATGTCTTTATCTGTCACATCTCGGGATCCCAATAATATCATAGTAAAAAGACAAAAGCCAATGCATACACAAAATAGTTTATGGATAGGGGAAAAAATATTTTATTATCAGAAGAGAATGTACCCGAAGATATATGGGTTGCCTACGTAACATGTGTTTTAAAGACTTTTGAAAGCGAAAGAAATAAATAGAGTATCATTACAAAGATTGAAAGCAAAAGAAATAAACACAGTAAATGAAAATGATCTAAGCCTTCACAGAATCATTACAAACGTTGAAAGCGAAAGAAATAAACACAGTTAATGAACAAGGACAATCAGAAGTTGCTTAGCCAGATTGCATTTTATCATTACAAAAGGAGTTTCCTCGGCTGATTTAGCCATGATGATCGTACAAAACATCGTATGTATGTCTCAAATGCGTAGGCACAATTATCAAAGCACAGATTAGCTATTTACGATACAATTATTGTACTTAAAAACAGCCTAGTTTCTTTCCTTGAGTGGAAGTGTTTCCATTATTTGGAGGGTTGTATTATAGTCAAATTATGATTTATCATATAACTTGGATAATGTTACCGAGGCTTGAGTAACCTGGTATTCATTGACCGCATTAATTTCTCCTGGTCAGTGAGGGAATGGCGAAAGTGGCAGCGGTGGCCATAGGGGCAATGATCACCATTGAGGACCATGCGGCACACCTCGGTCTTGTAGCGAGGATGGCGAAGGACTGGGCGGAGCTCCTTGATGCCATGAGCAAATTGGCAGTGATCTCCATACGGGCATGTACCTGTCTGTTGCCATTTGTTGCAAAGCTCAGTCTTGTGCATACCTTGATTATACACCTCCAGTTCAAGTGCTTCCTCAACTTTCTTCCCTCCACTCACATACACTCTTTGCTATATGATCACCATGAAAGTTATATCAGCATATAAGAAATTAAAAGCCAACCTCTCTCATTTTCATGAGTCATGAATTACAGAAGTTGGAAACATCTAAAGCTATTAAACAAATTTGAGGGCTAGATGTGAACACTAGATGCTCTTCATAAAGAAACTTTAAAATGATCGTAACTTGTATGATATCCATTTTTAATTTTTACCCTATAAATTGGTTTCTTCTGATAATAATTGTCATTAGTCCTACTAGTATTTTTCTCTTAAAAATGGAAAAGAAATCCTTAAGAAACTGAAATTATCATGTGACAAAAAGCACATATAAACATTGTTAAACAGCTTACTCTTTGAAATTTCATAGAATTGATTCTATCACTGAACTTAAACATATATATTCATTAGTAATGCTCCAAATATATGAATTTGAAGCTCTATGATGCGTATTATAGTCTTATGACCTATATAAATCAGTGACAATTCAATAATTGAAATTACCACAGATTCAAATTTGCATGACACAAACAAATCATAATCCATGTTCCACATAAGATAGGGTTTAGATTGAATGATCACAGAATTCTCTATACATGTACAAGCACATTATACACATTTCATCGACAAAATTTTCTTAAGTCATTTTAAATTTGAATAACAGTTTTTCAGCGTCCTATGGTCAATAAGCTGATTCAGGTCTGATTGTCAACACGATGTTTAGTTCAACATGGCACGATAATGAAATCATAGGATAAAGAAGTTACACAAAAATAACAAAATATATATATATAAAAAATTCTGACGACAAATTCATGACAAACAAAACCTTTTAATATCCTAACAACCACGTCCCTG